CCATCATATGTGTCCTGGAATTGGAACGTGGGTGGTCACAGTTGGTGATAGGTTCCTTCCTCTGTGAGGAACATTTCCTCAGCATGTCTCTTGACCTCTTTTTACTTAAGCAAGTCAGTTACTGACTCCTGGGTATATCTGTTTCTACCTTATCTGTGTCCATGATTTGCTGTCAGCCTCTACTCAAGGTCACACAGATGGTACTATTTTCTGTCCTAGGCTTTTAAACACATGGCTTATGTTTTTGTCATAGAAATTTCAGGAAATGCAAGATGAGAAGCTACGATAGCTACCATTGTGATTCATACAATCACCCCTGACCTTTCCTCCTCACAGCAGTTTGAGAGACAGCCAACATGTCTCTCATTTCATGCCACAAGCCCACATGGTGTGGGGTGGTCTTCTGTCATCTGAGTTGACAGTCAGTGGCTGAGGAACTTCTGCCATCTGGCTCACTCTCCTACCCACCACCACTCCCTCCCCCAGTAGCTCACATTGACAAGAGAATGGCCCCTATCTTCATTATGGTTTCTATTGCTGTGATAAAGCACCATGACCAAAAGTAACTTGGGGAAGAAAGAATTGATTTGGCTTATGCTTCCATAGCACTTTTCATCATGGAAGAAAGTTGGGACAGGAACTCACACAGGACAGGCACCTCCAGGCAGGAGCTGATGCAGAGGCCAATGAGGGGTGCTGCTTACCGGCTTGCTCTTTATGACTTGCTCATATTGCTTACTGCTTTCCTTTCTGTCTTTCTTTCTTTCTTTCTTTCTTTCTTTCTTTCTTTCCTTCTTTCTTCCTTTCTTCCTTTCTTCCTGTCTGTCTGTCTGTCTGTCTGTCTGTCTTTTTTGAGAAAGGTTTCTCTATTTAGCCCTGGCCTGAAGGTGTGCGCTGCCACCACTGGGCTACAGCCTGATCTTTTTGTTTTGTTTTGTTTGTTTGTTGTTTTTCAAGACAGGGTTTCTCTGTGTCTTTGGAGCCTATCCTGGAACTCACTCTGTAGACCAGGCTGGCCTTGAACTCACAGAGATCCACCTGCCTCTGCCTCCAGAGTGCTGGGACTGAAGGTGTGTGCCACCACTGCCAGCCACAGCTGATGTTATGGAGGCATTTTCTCAGTTGATAGCTACAGCCAGCGGCCACAGCCCACAGGAAAGTCTGTTCTCCTGGTGCCTGTGGGTGGGCATCCTGCCTAGCTTTCAAGACCAGTCTGTAGTCCAGGGCCTTCAGTTCTTAGATCAAGGAGAAAAACGTGGGCTGGGAGCAGGTGCTGTCTGTGATCAAAATGTGGGTGGCAGCATTCAGAGGCTAAGGACAGTAGACCTCAGTGGGTCTCCACCTTGCTTTTTCATTTGTGAGTGATTCCCCAATAAATACCTGACTTCCCTTTATTCTGGGCTCTTGAGGACTCCCTAAATACATCCTCATTTGGCACCCATAGCCTCTGACTATTGGCTGAAATTCCCACAAGACGATGCCTTGGTGACTTTTGTAGACTGAGCCCTTTCCATCTTCCTGAGGGATCTGCCTGTGTGTGCAAGTATGTAAGGGCTTGGTTTTCCTTCCCAGGAGTGTTTGGTTCCTTCTGCCAACTATATGGGCTATCACAGCACCCTCACCATGGATCAGTGCAGTTCCAGCAAGTTCTAAGATAATGTTTACATCAGTAGCTTTGAGGATAGCAGCTGTTTCCCCTGAGGGAGCCACATGGCAGAGCCTAAGGTCAGACCCAATCCAGATAGCGATTGTGACTAGTGGACATGCATGGAGCTCAGCTCCTTTCTGTTACCTTCTCAGGCCCCTGCTCTGTCAACCATTAGTAGTGTGGTATTGAGTGAGGACTCGGGGTCGGGGGGAGGCAGGTTTCTATCCTGGGATGTGGGACCCTTTTTGATCCCTGGGTGTCAACATTTGTGGCTAAGGGACTGAAACCTTCCTGGATCAGACCTCTTCCTGAAGAGGTGTCATGTATACAACAGTTTACATGACAGCCTCCACCACAGTGGGGCCTCTCCAGGCCAGCATCTAGGACAAGAGGGCCTGTTCTTCTCTGGACTTTGCCTGGGGTTTCCTGGGGAGGGTTGACACCAGGTACCTGAAACACTGGCACCAAATTGCCACTTTCTCACTGTCCTGTCGTCTGTTTTCTGCCTCTAGTTCAGGATCTCAAGGGGCTTGGTTACGAGAAGGGGAAACCTGTGGGCCTGGTGGGTGTCACAGAGCTGTCTGATGCACAGAAGAAGCAGCTGAAGGAGCAGCAAGAGGTAAGACCACAGGTGGGGACTCAGCTCTGCCCCCAGGCAAGGGCTACTATTGTATCCACTAGTGCTGCCTGAGGACTCCTGACAGGCAGTGCCCAGGACCTGTGGACTAGGCTTTAGAGAGGTCTCCCTTTGTTCTCCCCTGCCCCAGCTCCCTCCAGTGTCTAGGAAAGGGTGTCCTACTAGGCAGGTGAGGTAGGATTACAGCCCCAGAACCCCCAGCTGTCCCTTGCCATAGGCCTGTAGCCTGACATCTGCTTCTGTCCTTGCTCTGTGGCTGAGCGTCCCCACTCTCCGTGCTGGGATGTAGGTGCTTACAGCTCTTGTCCTGCCTGCTTTCCTGGGCAGGGAGGGAGACACCCTCACCAAGCCCCTGCCTGTTACCTCCACAGATGCAACAGATGTATGACATGATCATGCAGCACAAGCGCGCCATGCAGGACATGCAGCTGCTGTGGGAGAAGGCGCTACAGCAGCACCAGCACGGCTATGACAGTGACGAGGAAGTGGACAGCGAGCTGGGCACCTGGGAGCACCAGCTGCGGCGCATGGAGATGGACAAGACCCGGGGTGTGTGGGGCATGGGGGATGGCACAACCTGGCCATGGCACATGGTGCAGAGATGCTAGCTCTGCCTCTGTTACCTTAGCGTGTGTGTTGGGGGGAGGGGGGGGGCTCCGTGGTGTTTGTGTGGAACGGTGATCGGGGTTGCAAGTCAAGAAAGGGAAACATTGGTATCACCACCACCTCATCCCTCACCATTTGCTTTTCCCTCTTCAGAGTGGGCAGAGCAGCTGACACAGATGGGTCGCGGCAAGCACTTCATTGGTGACTTCTTGCCCCCTGATGAGCTGGAGAAGTTCATGGAGACCTTCAAGGCCCTGAAGGTGAGCACCCCAGGGTCAGACCTGGGGAAGCTGATGGGAAGGCACCCAGCTTTCCTGTACCAAGGCAGGTGCTGACAGGTAGGGAATTAAACAGTGTAGCATGTCCCAGCCTCAACTAGACATACCTGCAGAGGACTTCCAAAGCAGAAGTTCGTTCTTTCTTTCTTTCTTTCTTTCTTTCTTTCTTTCTTTCTTATTTTCAAGATAGGGTCTTACCAGTGGTGGTGGGGCATGTATTTATTTAATTCCAGCACTCAGGAGGCAGAGGCAGGTGAATCTCTTGAGTTGAGGTCAGTCTTATCTACAGAGTGTGTTTCAGAACAGCCAGGGCTACACAGAGAAATTCTGTCTCGGGAGGGAAAAAAAAAAAGACAGGGTCTTGCCATGCAGTCTTGACTCACTGTGTAAAACAGGCTGACCTTGACCCTTTGTCATCCTATCTCTGTCACTCAAGTGCTGAGAGGGAGGCACCACCTTGCATACTGTTCCTACTGTGGTGGCCTCAAGAACCAGTGGGCTGCTTTGACATGAATTGGGTTCTCTTTGTGTCCCATAGCTATGTCTGTTTAGCATTCTGTGCGATAGGTTGTCCCCAAGCTGGGTATTTGGAACAAATTGTTTTTAGAACATGAGTTATTCTTTGTCAATAAAATCCCAATGGGACTGTTTCAGTTGTCACCTTGCCCTTTTGACTTGACTGCCAGGAAGCTCAGCCCTTGGGGATAACAGAAGGATGAAGAGCTGAATCTGTTTGAGTGGGGTCTGACATTCGTGGGAGTGGGGCACATGGGTGGTCCCATTCTGGCATGAGGCTAAGAGCAGGTGGGGCAGGCATTGGAACCAGAGCTGCAGTCCCCATGACTGGCAACTTCCTCTCTTCTGTTGCAGGAGGGCCGAGAGCCAGACTACTCAGAGTACAAGGAATTCAAGCTGACAGTAGAGAACATCGGCTACCAGATGCTCATGAAGATGGGCTGGAAGGAGGGCGAGGGGCTGGGCACCGAGGGCCAGGGCATCAAGAACCCAGTGAACAAGTGAGTGTTGCCAGGGTGCTTGCAGGGAGCACACAGATGGTTCCAGAAACTAGTAAGAACTGTCCCATGTGTGAAGCCTTGCTTCCCACACTGCTGTGTGACTCAAGGCTGGCTGACCCAAGTCTAAGTGGATCTAGGGTGAGCCCTGCTCACCCCAATACCCTGTAGTCCTTTCCTATCTGTCCTATCTGGGCCCTACTTATGACTTCCGGCTTTCCCCAGGGGAGCCACCACAGTAGATGGAGCTGGCTTTGGCATTGACCGGCCAGCTGAGCTCTCCAAGGAGGATGATGAGTATGAAGCCTTCCGCAAGAGGATGATGCTGGCCTACCGCTTCCGGCCCAACCCCCTGGTGAGTGCCTGCCTGACTCCCTGCTGTTTGGGGGGAGGTGACAGCAAAGGCCCTGCCCCAGCTCTGTTACCTGGAAGGTTCTGGAGGGGAGGACCTGCAATTTCCCACTAACACTATCACTTTTGATCTTTTTGGCCTCCCCCAGAACAACCCCAGACGGCCCTACTACTGAATATTCTGGAAACACAAAGTCTGCTTTCAGATCAGCCATCCTGGACTGTGGAATGTTGTCACATACATCTCTGCCCATCCTGTTGTCACAAGTGTTGTGCTGTGTATTAAAGTCCCAGTGCTCTCCTGCCCAGCATTTTGTTCCCTGATGTGACTAAGACTCCCTTTTGTCCTACCTCTGGTCCCAGTATGGCTCATCATTGACCTCCCAATAACTGGAGGCCAACCAGTTAGTGAGGACTTTACCCCAGGCACAGGAAAAAGAGGCCTCCAAACGCTTCATGATATGTGCACGGGCTGGTGTGTCCTGGGCACAGTTTGGGGTGGAGGGCCAGATATAGAGGCAGAGACCTGGGAGGGGCTGTCTCATAGAAGCTAGTGCAAGGGTCTTTGAAAAACCAGAACTAGTACTCACTACAGAGCAGCAAGAGCCCAGCTGGAGGCCATGATGAACAGGTGGCCTCCTAGTATCAGTCCTTTGGGTTCCTTCTGCCCTGCACCTCTCTTGAGCCTGTGACAACTGCCATGGGACCTCTTGTGGGAATGACCCCTCAAAGCTTCACACCCAGGCATCCAAGTTCAGTGATGGTCATGCTGTGTCCAAGTAGACATGGCTCCCCTTTCAGTGAGAATCCATGATGCCCCTCTGTTGCTTCAACACAGGGTTTCTCGGCACAGCCTTGACTGTCCTGGCACTCCTAGACCAGGCTGGCCTCATACTCAGATCCACTTGCCTCTGCCTCCCAAATACTGGGATTAGAGGTGTGAACCACCACTGCCTGGCCCCAATACACAGAATTTTTAAATTTGAAACCTAACCTTTAAAGTGTAGCTGAATCTAGAAAGATGGCTCAGTGGTGAAAATCATTTGCTGCATGAGAATAAGTGTTCAGATTCCAGAACACAACTTGATGCTCCAAGTACACCCGTCACAGCTCCTGGGGCATGGAGGGTGATGAGACTTGCCGATTTCCAGCCTAGCCAAGAAAATGTAAGCCCCGTGTTCATTGAGAGACCGAAGGAATGGGTGGGGAGTGATGCCCACATGCACACAGACATCTTTAATTCAAAAGGGAGTGTTGCTCTCCATGTTCAGGTGTCAGTGTGTCAGGTCTAAGAAGGCAGAGGTGCAAAAAGGAGACATGGTCCACACCTATAAGAGTTTTCTGTGCAAACATGAGGACCTGAGTTCAAATTCCCACTATGCATGAAAAAAGCCAGGTATTGTCAAAGATGGCGATGGGGAGGATCGCTATTTTCTGGCTGCCAGCATAGCTCCAGGTTTAAAGAAACATCCTGTCTCAAAAGAATAAAGAGTGATCAGGACACTCCACCGACTTGCTCCTCTGATCTTTGCGCTCATACAATCCATCTCCTTAATGACTCCCTCCCCCAAATCCAAAGGGAAAGACCTGCTGCTTGGAGCATGGCACAAAAGGACCAGGCTGTGAGAGGCCGAGCCGGAGCTAAGGGTAGGGCTATGTGGTGGTTGTGTGGGGCTGGGGGCCGGGCTGTGCAGGGCGTCGTTACAATCCCTCAGCCTCTAGGAGCGTGGCCACGGGAGAGTAGCTGTGAACTCGGCAAAGGGGCGTGGCTACAGTCAACAGGTCTGGGGGCGGAGCTATAAACTGAGTGGTGACAAGGGGCGTGGCTGTGCCATTGGTGAATGGACCGAGGGTGGGAGCTTATGGGCGGAGTCTCATGAGGGCCGGGCCTCGCATGTTGGCCAGGAATAGGAGCGGTGAAGGGTGGCGTCTCGGCCCCGCGCAGGGCGACCTTTGCGCGGGGCAGGTTCCTGGCACCCCAAAGCTCAAACTCGCTGCAGTCGCGGAGCCAAGCGTCTCGGAGGCTGCGCCCGGGTTGGAGCGCCGCTGCCATGGACATCCCGCCGCTAGCCAGCAAGACCACGGCGATGTCGCTCGGCGCCCTGCCAGTGTCCTATGCGCTCAACCACGTCTCAGTGCTCTCACAGTGCGTTTCGTCCGCGAGGACCACCGGGCTAGAGGGAGGATGAGGGGTGGTGGAGCTCAGGAGGGTCGAAGCTGGGCCTGGAGGACGCCCATGCAAGCAGAAATCCCCCTCCTGTCGCCCAGAGGCAAGGGATGCTGTGGTGGGGTTCTGGGAAAAGGTGATGTGGAGCCTTAGTGTTTGGGGATTTTATGGGTATTCCAGGGATGCACCCCGCACAGGTTCCAAAGTCGCCTAGGGTCAAAGTTTTGTCCTAGATAAAGCCCTACTGATCCTGCTCCCATGGCACGAATGCCCTGTTCCAGTGCCTCTGTCTCAGGCTTAGAGTAAGTTTGTTCTACACGCAGTGACCACCCCTGTTCTTGTCTTCTATCTCTAGATAGACCCTGGAGGTCCAGCAAGCCCCTCACTCCAAAGCTCACAGACCCAAACGATGGGATAGAGAGGGATGATTCCCTGGATACTAATACCTGTCCCCTGGGAATCTGAGTGAGCCAAGTGCACTCTAGGAGCCTAGGTTCCTTCCTCTGTCTAGTTTTCACTATAGTCATGGATGAGGATCACAAGTTCTGTGCAGTGTCAAGGTTAGGTATTTGGTTGGCATTGCTGGTGGGCGCATGAAATGTTGGGCTGGGTAATGTAGGAGAACTGGACAAAACCTTGCTGTGTGGCACTAGACAGGTGGATTCCCTTCTCTGGGTTTTGGTTTGTTTGTCCAGCTGTGTTAAGGGGAGACCTGGTTTCTGTTATCTTTGCAACTAGCTGACCTGTCTTATCAGGTTGGTGGGGTAGATCTGGGCAAGGATAGGGTGGAGCAGATGGAGACATTTGGACTTTAGCTGGGAGGAGGTGGGAGCCTCGGGGAATACTGGAGACTCCATCAGGGTTGAGGCTGGCCTTGCTCAATGACCAACCAAGCAAATCCAAATGAATGAGTATCAGCTAATGATGGAATTACTGGATTTAACAGTAGGGATAGGGAAATCAGGGAGGTTTTCTAAGGGGCACAATATAGATGGGCCTGATAAATGAGTAGGAGTTTGTCAAGTAGAAATCCTAAGCAAGAAACCACTGATGGGGAAGGCAAGTTTCATTCTCCTTTGCTGGTACTTCCTGAATAACTCCTCTAGAAAGTCTCACCCAAGCATTGCCTCCCTTGCTGCCCCCACCCCCCAGGCCCTTGTGTGTAGTGCTGATGAGTGCGCTGATACTGGGTCTGCTCTTCATGGCCATCTACAGCCTATCTCATGGGGAAATCACCTATGACCCGCTCTATGCTGGTAAGTCACTGGAAGGTGGTGGGGAGCAGTGCTGTCTGAGAAAAGGCCTCCATTCTAGACGTTGGACCAACCAAGGACCTCCATCAGTCTTTGAAAGATTCCCATTAAACTGTGGAACCCAGAGGGCCTGAAACACCATCAGATTGGAAAACTTCAAAAGGCCTCCTCTTTCAGAGTTGGAACTGCAGAGAGAAACAATTATGTCTCCCCCATCAGACAAGGCCCTCCCCAGCACTCATGTAACCCAGACTGACCTGGAACTCCTGATCTTCCTGTCTCCATCCCCTGAGTGCTGTGGTATCAGAATCACCTTGTCCAGCTTCAGCCAGACAAGGGACTTCTGAGGCCTGGAGCCTTGCCTGATCACCTCATCCTGGACCTGATGTTTCGAGTCCAGTTTGTTTGTTTGTTTCTTTTTCCCAGACAGGGTTTATTTGTAGCTTTAGAGCCTGCCCTGGAACTCACCCTTGAGACCAGGCTGGCCTCAACTCACAGAAATCCACCTGCCTCTGCCTCCTGAGTGCTGGGATTAAAGGCGTGGGCCACCACTGCCCAGCTTCAAGTCCAGTTTTAAGTTCAACTAAAAGTTAGGTGTGGTGCTGTGGGTTTGTAATCCAAGTACTTGGGAAGCTGCAGCAAAAGGATTACCATTTGTTCAGGGGCAGCCTGTGCTACAGACTCACACCCCGTGTCAAAAGAATACAACCTGAGGTTGGACAGGCCCAAACTGCCTCTGTGCTAGCTTTAGCCACACCTGCACTTAGCCATAGTCCTGTCCATGTCAGGCCCAAGCACCTGCTCAGTACCTCCCACTCTCTCTCCAGTCTTTGTGATCTTCTCCTTCACTTCGGTGGTGGACCTCATCATTGCACTCCAGGAAGACGGCTACGTGATGGGCTTTATGGATTTCTACACCAAGGAGGTAAGTGGTGGCTACCAAGAGTAGGGTGGCTGGGGGTGGTCCTGGTCCCATCATGCATGCTCCTGAGCCCCACTCCTGCCCACAGGGTGAGCCCTACCTACGCACAGCACATGGCATCTTCATCTGTTACTGGGATGGTACTGTGCACTACCTGCTCTATCTGGCCATGGCCGGTGCCATCCGCAAAAGGTGAGGGAGACAGGAGACTAGGATCCCAGGAGGAAGTTATTCCTCAGGCGGGTTCCAGGTCTCTGGGGAGCCAGAAGTGTTTGAGAAGGGGTATGATCACCCATGGATGACTACAAGATGTTTCCAGAGACTGTCAGCAGGTGTGGCTAGCTGGGGACCCACATCTTCTGGACCACTGGTGCCATTTCTAGGACTTATTGTCTTATTGTGTGAGGCGCCAGCCTAGCACATACAGAGCATGACAAGACCCACATTCTGCTGGGTGTTGGTGGTGCACGCCTTTAGTCCCAGCACTCTGGAGGCAGAGACAGGCAGATCTCTGTGAGTTCCAGACCAGCCTGGTCTACAAGAGCGAGTTCCAAAGCCACAGAGAAACCCTGTCTTGAACCCCCCCACCCCACCCCCCTGCAAAACAAGACCCATATTCCATTTCTAGCTACCATAAATAAACAAAGCCCAAGAGGAACCAGCAGGGCCTTGAGATTGAGGGTTAATGGCCCACAGCTACCCCTCTATCACTTCTCAGGAAGAGGTACCGGAACCTTGGGCTCTACTGGCTGGGGTCCTTCGCCATGAGCCTCCTGGTGTTCCTCCCGGGAAACATCCTTGGTAAGGACACAGCCTCTGAGATTCCACCCCTCCATGTGTCTGAAGACCCAATAGCCAAGGGGCCAGCAGCCAAGACGCCCTCCATTCCCTTTCCTTATGGAAGTGATGGGGAGATGGCATTAATCCTGCTTCCTCTGCAGGCTACCAGCCCATGATGTCAAGGGTCTCACAGCATGCTATTCACACAGGAAGGGAGTTTTAGGGTGGGTCCTGAGGTCAGAGTGAAAGCTGTGTAAGTAGGTCTTTGGAGGCAGGGCAGAGTGACAAGTTCCTGTGTTGGAATGGCTCAGTAAATGCTGAGCAAGGAGACCTACTTGATGGGAAGCAAAGACATTGTCACAAGTGTCAAGTCTGTATTCAGGGTAAACTCAGCCAGGCCAGGGCAGGGAGCATGCTGGGGGGCCACAGAGCATAGGAGCGCTTGAGCAAGAGTAGTATAACTCAAGATGTCCAGGCAGGGTCCCTTTTGGCCCAGCTTCCATTAGAAATCTCCCCGAGTCACATGCTCTCCCCATCCTGGCAGGTAAATACAGTTCAGAGATCAGACCTGCCTTCTTCCTCACCATTCTATACATGCTGGTCCCATGCTGGGCTGGTGTGAGAATCTTCAGTCAGTCCCGTACACCTACCTCCTACACCCCCGACATGGTGAGTGCCCCACCACACCCCGTTTGTGAATGGCTTTGAATCAAAGGCTTTGTGTCAGTTGAGGCATGGTGGCCCGTGCCTATCATACCAGCACTGGGGAGACTGAGGCAGAATTGCCACGAGTTCAAGGCCAGCATGGGTTTTTATGGTGAGACTGTCTCAAAACTCCAAGGACTCAAATGTGGCTCAACATGAGAGTTAGGAGTATGGCTCGGGGGAGAACACTTGCTCAACCTGTACAAGCTCAAGAGCCAATGACTATCTACTTGGGAGAGATAGAGTGATCATCTGCTAGACCCCAGGCCTCTCTGGCTAGCTCCAGCTTTCTCTTACATGGGACAGGTACAGGAGGAACAGAAGAAAGGCCTCCTACAGCGCCCAGCTGACCTGACACTCATCATCTACCTCATCCTTGCTGCCTTCTTTGCTCTCTTCCGGGGCCTGGTGAGTCTGCCTTGGCTTCCTCCCCCCTTCACCTCCAGTCTCCCTCCTCAGCCGCCTTCTCCCAAAATTTATTTCCTTATTTGTTGCCAAAAGAACAGCGCTCTTCTGTCTGATACCCAGGAGAGCTCTTCACCAAGTCCAACCTGAAGGTCTCGTGACAATGCCTGTTCACACAGCCTTTCCTCAGCGCTCTTGCTGTGAATCTACAGCTAAAGGGAGAGAGCAGGGAGGGCTGAGAGGGCTTGAGAGCTGGAGTGGGGAAAAGCCTTGTGAGAGCCATAAGATGGATGGTGGTTATCTGTGTCATAGGTGGTACTTGACTGCCCCACAGACGCCTGCTTCATCTATATTTATCAATATGAGCCATACCTGCGGGACCCTGTGGCCTACCCAAAGCTGCAGGTGAGGGGACAAATGGGAGGAGAAGGCTGTGGTCCTGCCCTTCTCTGAAGCAGTTGCCTGAAATCATGCCAGTCAGGCAGATTCACATGTAGGCTTCGGGTATGGCAGGGTCCAACATGTGTCTTGGCTGTGCTTTCTCAGCAAGGCCCATTGAGGCTCTGATTAGCCCGGCCTGAATCACATGCCCCTGTGATTCACATCAGCATTGGAAATAGGGTGTTCCAATTGGTAAGTCAGAGTCTGTACCCTCCCGGCAGCTGAGTGTGACTCATTATGTGTGATGGGGGAAGGAGCCCTGTGTAGATCCCCACCCTGTGTTCTCACAGCCTGTGGTCTCCCCTAGATGCTGATGTATTTGTTCTATGCTCTGCCTTTCTACTGTCTGGCTGCCTATGCCCTCACCTTCCCTGGTTGCTCCTGGCTGCCAGACTGGGCCTTGGTGTTCGCCGGAGCCATTGGCCAGGTAAGGGGTGGGGTAGTGATAATGGACCCAAGGCCTAGTGATCCAAAGTTCCCTAGCCTGAAGGAGATGGCTGGATGGACATAACCCCTGGCCCACAGGTAGCTCCAAGCCCCCTAGTCAGAGCTAGAAAGAAGCATGCTGGGATATGGCTTCCTCCGTGGTATAGTGCTTGCCTAGCAGGTGCAAGTGCATACCTTCCATTCCCCAGCACTGGAAACAAACAAGCGAATGAGTTGGCAGTGGTGGTACACACCTTTAGTCCCAGCACTCGGGAGGCAGAGGCAGGTGGATCTCTGTGAGTTCGAGGCCAGCCTGGTCTACAAAGTGAGTGCCAGGACAGCCAGTGCTGTTAAACACAGAAACCCTGACTTGAAAAATCAAACAAACAGACAGACACCAGGAAGGAAGGGGGAACAGGGGCTGAGAAGGGCTGCAAAGTGGGAAGATTGTGACCTATGAAGGGAAGGGCAGCCATGAACAGAAAGAGTATAGAAAGGCAGCCAAGAGGACATCAAGGGAGACAGATGAAAAACTGGAGCTGGATGCTGAAGACTTTGAACTCTGGGCATGTGAGGGGAGGCAGGGGGCCATGGAAGTGCTTAAGCACAGGAGGGCTCAGAGCTATTTCTGGGGTTTTGGTAGGAAAAGAAAAAGCCTAGACTCAGTCCAAGCAGGGGGACCCAGAAGTCTCTGCAAGTCCACAACACTTGTGAGGAGAGAGGATGGGATCCAGGCTGGAGTCAGTTGTTTAGGGAAGGAAGACACGGCAGTGTCGCAGTGGGCATTGGCCTGAGGGTGCTGACCTGACCTGCCATCCTCCCTGTGTCCCTGCCAGGCGCAGTTCTCACACATGGGTGCATCCATGCACCTGCGTACACCCTTCACTTACCGCGTGCCTGAGGACACCTGGACCACCTTCTTTCTGAGCAACATGCTGTTTGCACTGGGTCCGCATCTGCTAGCTTTCCGATGCCTCTGGCGGCCTGCCTTCTTCCTGCAGGCCCCGCCCTGGGCTTCCGAGGGCCCAGGCAAGAAGCAACAGTGAGCATATGCCCTCTTCTCTGCTAGGAACTACCTGTGCAGCACGCCTGACCCTCCAAGGATGGGTTGACCCTTTTAAAGCTGGACGGACATCTGGGGGATTGCAATCCAGGCCAGAAGGGAGCGTAGGAGACCCACGACCAGATGTTCTCACTATGTCACTGTGTCCCAAAGACCAGAAGTACCCTAATGTCCTCCCTTGGAATTTACCCATCACTACCCCCATCCTTTTAATAAAAGCACTTTTGATGTCTAGGACATCACTGCCTGAGTGTTTCAGGGAGCTGGAGCAAGGGACCATCTTCTTGTACCCATGAGAGGAGGGTAGGGTGCTCACAGCCACTGTGGCTGTCTGGAGTCAGAGGGGCCAGGACACTAACAGTCAGCCTCTCAGTGGGATGCACAACTGCATGCTCCAGATGGGAAAACTGACACTCAGAAGGGTTGAGGTCACACTGGGCTGTGGGTGCAGGTTAGTAAAGTGCTCTTGGAGCTGACGCCCATAAAGGCCCTGGGTGCACTACATTATTAGGTGTACACCTGCCATCCCAGCACTGGGAAGGTGGAGGCAGGAGCACAAGATCCTCTTTGGTCCTTCCAAAGCAAGTTGGAAACCAGCCTGGACTGCATTCTCACACCTCCACACATAAACGGGTCAGGGGCAATATGTCAGTCAGCAAAGTGCATCAGGGCCCTATTTCAAATCCCCAACGCCCTCGTAAAAGTCAGCTGCTGTGGCGACCATATAAGGGGTGAACCAGCACTGGCATGGGGATTGAAGGAAGAATTCCCAAAGCTCACTGGCCAGTTAGCTCCAGGTTCAGTAAGATGCCTTGCCCCAAATCAGGTAAAAGGCGGGGTGGCACATGGGTTTAATCCCAGCACTCAGGAGGCAGAGGCAAGTGGATCACTGTGAGTTCCAGGCCAGTCTGGTCTATACAGTGAGCTCCAGGCCAGTCAGGGTTGTTTCAAATAAACAGGTAAAAGGCTGAGAATGAGGAAGACACCTAATGTTGACTCTGACTTACACACACCTGAGTTGAGCTCTCACATACAGGTTGTAATACACACATACCTCGCACACAGAGTACAGCATTACCAAATGGTGGCATTGTTAGGCATCCAGGGAACTGCACACAGACTGCTGTCACTGGGCCTCCACATTCTAGACTGAGACTAGAAGTGAAGATTCTGGGCCAAGGTCATACTTGAGCACATCTGAGTTAGGGACAGGGCTCACTTTCCAGGGCAACTGAGGGTAGCTCGGCAATGTTTGGAAAGGGTTCTCTATTTCCTGTTCTGTAGTTTAGAAACTGGGTGAAGAGGGGAGCTTAGGAGTGCCAGGGGTCCGGTGCTCTCTGGCCAGGCTTCTAGTGGGAACCCAGTCACTGCCTGGAGACCCACCCAGGCCGAGAGGTCTCCCTGAGTGACACAGCCAGTGAGGACAAGAGTGGAACGTGGGCCTGTTCCTCTGAGTCCCTATGCTGGAATATGATTTTTGGAGAACACTCACATCTCTAGTGTCTGCTGGAGCCCAAGTTTCCAGGGTGATTACCCAGTGAGCAGATGGACAAACAGGCTGGCAGGCAAAAACTCTTAACCAAACCACCACTCCTGCCAGTGCATGGGAAACCCGAGTTTATCAGCACTTACTGCATTCTATCATTTTAGAAAACTGATACAGGATCTGGATATGGAGCCCAGGCTAGCCTCCTGCCTAAGCCTCCTACATCCTGGGAACGCAGCCTGTGCCACCATGCCTGGCTTTCCCATGTGTTTGTTTTGTTTTGTGAGATGGTCTTCGTGTAACACTGACTGTTCTGAAACTCACTCTGTATATGACAAGGTCTTCTGTAGCCCAAGCAGGCCTTAAATTTACAATGTAACCTAAGGTGACTTCTCCCCCAATTTGATGTTTTTTTTTTTTTGTTTTTTTTTTTTTTTTTTTGGTTTTTTGGGACAGGGTTTCTCTGTGGCTTTGGAGGCTGTCCTGGAGCTAGCTCTTGTAGACCAGGCTGGTCTCGAACTCACAGAGATCCACCTGCCTCTGCCTCCCGAGTGCTAGGATTAAAGGCGTGCACCACCAATGCCCAGCCCAATTTGATTTTTGAAACAGAGTCTCACTATTTAATTCTGGCTGTCACCTGTAGACCAGGCTAGCCTCCAACTCAGAGATCCCAAGTGTTGTGTGCCACCTCACCAGCACCAAATGTGTAGCCCAGGCTGGCTTCAAACTCATGATCCTCCTGTCTCTGCCTCTATAGCATACCTTACCAACATGCACCACTACAACTGGCCCAAGATGACTTTGAACTCCTAATCCTCCTGCTTCAGCCTCCCCAGTGCTGAGATGATAGGTATGTACCACTACCCTTGCTATATCCTTGCTATAGAGATGAAACCCAGGACCTCATGCATGCAAGGTGAGCCCTCCTCCAACCCAGCCCTCAGCTGATACATGGCCAGGCTAGCCTGAAACTTGCTGAGGTTTACCCTCTATGGCTCCAATCCTGCACCCCTCTTCCCTTTTCCCTTCCATGCTAGCCTCAAACTTGATGTCTAGCAGAAGATGACTTTGAACTGCGGATTCTTCTCCCTTCCCCGGAGTACTTGCCTAACAGTCCTGAGTCACCACCATAAAATGAAGTGTGTTTGTGGTGGCAGGGAGAGTGGTAGATTTAGATTTCCCTGCTCTGGCAGAAACTGGCAGACTTGGTTAAGGGACTTGGCCAGCCCACAGAGGTGGCGCACACCTTTAATCCCAGCAATGGGGATGCTGAGGCAGGTGATCTCTGTGAGTTCGAGGCCAGCCTGGTCTACAAAGTGAATTCCAGGACAGCCAGGGCTGTTACACAGAGAGACCCTGTCCAAAAAAAAAAAAAAAAAAAAAAAAAAAAAAATGGGGCCACGGGGCCCGTTAAGCCAGCCTTCGTTTACCCTCTGCTCACTGGGTGGTTATATCATTTATACTCCTTTGCAGCCACGCCATGCATGGAGTGCAAACTGGGCTTGTGAGACTCCTTCCCTGGCTAAGGTAGTCCTCATGGGGGAAGTGGCGAGGTCGCTGTGTTCCCAGCTCAGCAGCACCGGGGCTGTCCCTTCCCACCCCACCCCCGCCCCCTACGCCATGCGGTGAGTACACGCGCTGCCCCTTTAAAGCCCCGCGTCCTCCTCCCCTTGCAGGCAGACTCCGGGATTGCATGGACCTACGGACCTGCCGGGCCAGAACATTGTGCGCGTGCGCAGTTGGGAAGCGCAGGGGCCGCTCAGCGGGGGCCGCGACCAGGATGGTGAGTGCTGTGCTGGGTACCTGATCTCTCCTTTGTCTCTGTCTCTCTGCTGTCTGTCTCTTCTCCTTCTCTCGTTCTCCTCTTGCTTCCTCTTTCTCTTTCTTTAGTACTTTCCCCTTTTTCTGCCCTCCAGTGAGGGCAGAGGGAGGAGGGGGAGGGAGGGAGTGGGGGAGAGTGCTCACTTTTTCTTTTTCCCTGTCTCTCCTCCCCACCAGCGTCTCCTTCCTCTGCCTCTGAGTCTCGGTCTTTTTCTGCGTCTCTGTCTGTCTGTGTCTATCTCTAGGTCTCTGTCTCTGAGTCTTTCTCTGGGTCTCTGTCTCTGAATCTGTCTCTGCGTCTCTCTGAATCTCTGTCTCTGCATCTCTGTCTCTGTGTCTCTCTCCGAGTCTCTGTCTCTGCGTCTGTCTCCGAGTCTCTGTCTCTTCGTCTCTCTATCTCTACCTCTCTGTCTCTCTCGGCCTGGCTCAGTAGCAGATGTTCCCCTCTTCCCGTGCTGACCCGCTGTCCCCAGCGCCCCCGCCTCACTCTGCCGGGCTTGCTGCAGTCTCCTGGCGCGCGGATAACCTTGCGGCCACGATGCGGGCAGCTGCTCCCCATCCCCCTTGCGCTCCGGTAGCGGGGGCGAGGACGTGGGGGAGGGCAGCTCCGAGGCTGAGACCCCTTTGGGGAGGGCAGGACGAGCTGAGGAGGGTCTGGACGGTACAGCTGGATACAGCTCCTGTGCCCGCAGGCGTGCGCTCCGGCGGCCCTCGGTCCCCGCGCGCTCTGGGCGGTTGCCTGCGGACTCCTGATCCTGGTCCCCGTGCCTGCCGGGGCTCAGAGAGGCAGGAAAAAAGTCGTGCACGTGCTGGGTGAGTCTTGTGCACAGCTCTGGTTCCCGTCCCGTCCTGTCCCCCGTCGCCTGCCCCCCCCCCCAGCTGTGGCCAAGAGCGAACAATGGGGGTCGGGTGGGGTGGCGGGTTGCAGTGGTCCCCAACTCTCAGTCTCCCCCCAACTCTCAGTCTCTTCGGAGCTCCTTCCCTACCCTAGACCTACATCCCTTCTCTGGGTCATCCCCCCCACCCCCAGCGCACTTTTGATCCCTGATTGGTCGCCCCGCAGAGGGCGAGTCCGGCTCCGTGGTGGTGCAGACGGCTCCAGGGCAGGTGGTGAGCCACCGCGGTGGCACCATCGTCTTACCTTGCCGTTACCATTATGAGGCGGCCGCCCACGGCCACGACGGCATCCGCCTCAAGTGGACGAAGGTGGTAGACCCTTTGGCCTTCACCGATGTCTTCGTGGCTCTGGGTCCCCAGCACCGAGCCTTCGGCCCTTACCGAGGGCGGGCCGAGCTGCAGAACGATGGGCCCGGGGACGCCTCCCTGGTCCTCCGAAATGTCACCCTGCAGGACTACGGACGCTACGAGTGCGAGGTCACCAATGAGCTAGAGGATGACGCCGGCATGGTCAAGCTGGACTTGGAAGGTGACCGAAGCATGGGCAGAGGAGATTGGGGGACAGTGTGGGACAAACCGAGTCAAGTTGGCACAGTAGAGATTTTATTGGGTAGGGAAATAGTTCGTCTAAAAATACTTCTTACAGCTTTCATTTATAAGTATGTGTTTGAATGTGTGTGCATGTGGTCAAGGCATCTTGCCTTAGATCCCTTGGAGCTGGAGTTGCAGGTTGTGAACTGCCTGATGTTGATGTGCAGAAACTCTCAAAGCCCTTTGAAAGAGATCTCTGTGAGTTCAACGCCAGCCTGGTCTACCAAGCTAGTTCAAGGATCATCTCTCTACACAGAGAGACACTGTCTCAAAAAGCAAATAAATAAACATTTTTAAAGGTGAGTTGTGAAGAATAAATAGAATAACAGTTAGTCAGGTGGAAAAGGACAGAAAGAACATGAGCAAAGGTCTCCGACCGTAGAAGAGTAGGCACGACTAAGTATGTTAGGGAGAAGGGTCAAGCCCCAAGCATAAATCACAAAGCGCATAATGTACGGGAGCTGGCCAGAGGTGTGGTCATGTCCGAGGGCCGGAGACCCTCTGGAGGTTCTGGTTCATGTGGGATCCATGAAAACTCGGGGCACCAGACAAACCCCCATTCCTTTCCATCCAGGAGTGGTCTTCCCCTACCACCCGCGTGGAGGCCGCTACAAGATGACTTTCGTGGAAGCACAGCGTGCTTGCGCCGAACAGGATGGCATTCTGGCATCTGCCGAGCAGCTGCACGCGGCCTGGCTCGATGGCCTGGACTGGTGCAATGCTGGATGGCTACGCGATGGCTCCGTGCAGTATCCAGTGAGCCAGGCCCGGGAGGCCTGTGGCGGGGCTGGGAGCACTGGGGCTGGTGGAGGCACCAGCGGGGGCGTGCGCAACTATGGGTATCGCCATAACGCTGAGGAACGCTATGATGCCTTCTGCTTCACGTCCAACCTCCCTGGTGAGTCCTTTCCCCCCAAGAAGAAGTGAAAGAAGTTTGTCTCTAGCGCTTAAGCCCCGCCCTCTGGAAGGATACTTGCTCAAAGGGTCTCTGAAATGAGACTCCACCCATAAGTACACAGGCTCTACCTCCTGAAGGGAACCCTTCTCTCCTGAAGGGAACCCTTCTCTCTTTCCTCCCTGCTAAGCCTTATTCCCTCTCCCTGGAAGGAGTCCCACCCCTCAAGTTCAGATGACCCCTCCCTGAAGGCCTGACCCATGGAGAGTGGCCCCACTCCTGGAGTGCATAGGCCCACTTCCTCGAAGAAGGTCCTCCCCAAGTGCATATGCCCCGCCCTCTAGAAGGAAACACACCCCAAGTGCATAGTCTCTGACCCCTTGGGGAAGACTGGCCCGAACCACCTAGTCATAGGGTCTGGCAAATGGAAGGAAGTTAGTCTCAGACACACAGACAAGAGCATAGGCCTCATCCCTTAAGGGCACACACAATAGGCTCCACTGCAAGGACAGAGGCCCGTTTCAGGCTCATAGTCCTGGATCCCTAGAGGAAGGCCTGACCGAAATGCATAGGGTCTACCTTGTGGTTGGAGGCCTGCTTCAAGAGTGTAGACCCTGCCCGCAAGAACACAGATTCTCCGGGCATTGGTGGCACACGCCTTTAATCCCAGCACTCCTGAGGCAGAGCCAGACAGATCTCTGTGAGTTCGAGACCAGCCTGCTCTACAAAGCGAGTTCCAGGATAGGCTCCAAAGCAATACAGAGAAACCCTGTCTCGAAAACCGCCCCCACTCTCCACCCCCCCAAAAAAGAATACAGATCCTCCGCCTAAGGCTAGGTCCACTGGTGAAAACCCTCCCAAACATAGGTCCCACCCCCAAAAGAGGACAGAGATCTCCATGAAGTGTACAGATCCTGCCTCCATGAGCATCAGCCCCGCCCCTAAGTGACCAGGCCCCTCCCCCTTC